GTTAAATAATAAGAGTGCTCCTATTTGGCACAAATATATATATATATATATACACACACACATTTATTTATGTACAACTGATAATATAATGATAAAAGCAAATTGTTTCACATTTGAATATTTTCAGCCGATGAAATTGGTCTCGCCCGAAAATAGGGAAGCAATTAATACGCCACAAAAAAAACTTCATCATCCAACACGAATCTCGAGACATGAGACAAATCTCGATGCAATCTTTTGAGCCAAAAAAGTTCAAGCTTTGATTAACAATCATCCAAACCTCTAATTTCATCAAACTTATAGTCATACTAACCGGCTCAACAAGACGGATTCAATGGTACCAAAATTGGTCCGATCCAAATCAAATCAAGCACTAATCAAGACAATAAACCATTGAAAGTTTTTCTGACATATTTGAAAGGTCAAATGTTTGTCGAACCAAACGAGTTTATAGTCAAATCGAGTGTCTCGATGAGACAAATCCAACAAGTCCAAGATCACTCAATTCTGATATCATTAAGACACTCAAATAACCATCAAATGTCATATTATCAAGAGAATCTTTACGAGTTGTTCGATCAGAGTGGTTCATATTCCATCATTAATTGCAGTCGGGACTATAAATAGAGTCACACCCCTCTCATGAGAGAGGAGGAGAGCTTGAGGCTTGAGGAAAAGCTTAAAACTTTGAGAAACTGAAGTCCATCATTACTCATGCCGCCATCAACCACCACCGACCATCATCAACTACCATATGTTGACCGCCATCAACCACCTGTCGGCCCTCGTCGATCATCACCGGTCGCCGCATCTTCTTTTCGGCGAGATCATTCTTACATCAACATTGTAATTCAAAATACTTAATAACATTTTTTCGCTTATGGAACGAGGAGTCTTTATATCAGCTCATAGTAGATCTTTTCAACTGGGTCAGACCTCGTGATTTTTCTTTTTACGGGTTTTTCACGTAAAACATTCTAGTGTCATTACTAGTTGTTCTCTCTCTTCTGAGTGTGTGATGAATCTTCATAGTATGCTAAGACGATAACATATTACCCTACTACCGTGAATATTCTAGCAGACATCAATCCTACTCTGTTGTGGACAACCCTGCTTCATGGACAGGTTTATTTTTATGGGTTGAATGCTCTGAAAAAATGCCTCATAACACAAAAATCAAAATTTATCTATTCCAAACATTTTATAGGGTGTTGCCACCAACCCTCCTTCCTTGTATTTGGAGATGTATCTATAGTAGAATCCATTGATGAATTATAAAATTTTGAAGATATAGCTCTAGGCAATTGCAAGATCAACCACAACAATCAAGACAATGGATGAAACAACTAACCAATAAACATAGATGAGACTTGGAATTCCGAAAAGGAAATTTAATTAGGAAAAACTACACCCATTAAGTCAAACAAATGTGCGCCGACAATTCTACTCCAAGCTACATGTGGATATTATGGCCCATACAAATTATGGAATGTATAGTTGTCACATACAACAAAAAGGAACTAGAGAATCTTGCATGCACCCGTGGTCCATGTCTCCTTACTAAAATCATACCATCAAAATGATTGAGTAGATGTAAAAGGCTCCAAACAATCTACTGGCAAAATCACCCTCTAGTTAGATCATCAGTCGCCCATGCCACCTTTCCAATTGTGATATTGTTTAACTACAACACCTCATTGAATGGGATGGCTTATCATAGGATGGAAGAACGATGCAACTTGGGTTACAAAGGAACAATTGCTCGCCATAAACACACTTTTTCTTCAACCCCAAGTAATGCAACCCCAAGGAATGCGGAGATAACATATGTTTCTCTTCAAGGAGTAGGGGGTGTTGATAGAGTCAAATTTGGGAAAAATAAAACATGAACGATGTCAGCACATGGCTCGATAGCCGCAAGGGCATGAAGAGGACTACAAAGGATGCAACATTCCTCAACTTGTCAAAGAAACTTCCCAAGAAAAGGTGACATAGGGGGTGCGTTGTTGAGAAAGAAAAAAAGAATAATTTCCTTTCGGATTGTTAGTTGTTGCCACATGTAGCTTTCCATTGGTTGATGGAAAGAATATTATAATGTAATAAATATAGGTAGAGCATGATGATGTAAAGGGAATACAAAACAATCAAAGAAATTCACTCTCTTCATTGCTAATCCTCCTACTCCCTATCTTTTGTAACGTGGAATGGATCCTCAAACGTGCCAAATTTTATAGACATCTTTTTTTCTGAAAGTTTGATCAATCAATAAACCACCCAACAAACATTCTCAGAGTATTTAAATTAAAAACGTTTGTTAAACTGTATATACATTAAACCAGGTCATTATAAGAGGCAACATATCACATTTTGTCTAAATTGGAAAACTAAGTAAGTTTTGAGCAGCCATATATATCTGTTCCTACAGAACATCGTGTAGTCTCTACTTTATGGCACGAATGTTCAGATTAACTCATCAACAATAAAAAAAACAAGGAAAAATTAAATAAGGATGCACTCTAAACACGAACTCGGCAAGTCTCATGGGCACGCACCTCAGAGCATTGACATCTTGAGATCCGGGCCGTTAAGTTATCATTCTCCCGCTGTAATTCCTAGCATATAGGATTGCGCAGTTAATGAGCATCACAAAAAGTTAGAGGACTTGAGATTCGAGTCGCAATCAAGAATTAAGGTTTAAGTCCCTACCTCGATTCGCACTGCCAGAAAGTTCAGCTGCTGACGGAGTGCGTCGGTTAGATCATTTTCGGTGGACGATGACTCCATCGGACAGAACATCGCCGCCTGGCCGCAGCCGCTGCCTATATTCGTAGCCATTGCAGCACGTAGCAACCCGAGCCGGAACCCTAATGGACTATGGAGCGTGCAGTACCAACGGCAAAACGAGAATATACGAATTAGGGTTTAGTGAAATATGTTCATGAACGGGGCAC